TTTTTTTGAAATTTGTTAAATTTTCGTGAAATGTGCACAAAGTTTTAGACTTTGATTTATATGGTTTATGGTATAGAATCTACTATATTTATATATATTATTAAGGAAAAAATTTATCACGCAAAACATTGTGAATATTGTAAAAAAATAAGTGTGCTATTTACGTAAGCGCCACTGTATGTACAAAGTTTTTATTGAAGCAGTAAGCATTTAATTAAAATAAAGAGCACAACGTTTTAAACTTTGATTTATATCATTTAAGTTATGTTTTTTCATTACAACTTAGCGAAATAATAACATTGAACCTTATTTATATATGTTATGAATTTTACATATTATTTATTTATTTGTTCTGGTTTAAAACCGAAAAGTATTTAAAAACACATATGTATGTTAAAATATAAATTTGTAAGTGCCTTACTCATATAAGAGAATTTTACAAATAGCAATAAATATACACCAAGTGTCAAAATTATAAGCGCACCACATATTGACAAGTTTTTACAATTTTTTTGTTTTGTTTAATTTTAGTTATTTTTTATAAAAATCTAGTTTATTAATTAACAAAAACCGTATAAATCCAAGTTTACATCAATGTGCAATAGTTGAAAAAAAATTCAACAAACTTTCGCACATCGCACATTGTTTCAAACTTGGATTTATACGGTTTTTGTTAATTAATAAACTAGATTTTTATAAAAAATAACTAAAATTAAACAAAACAAAATAATTGTAAAAAGTTGTCAATATGTGGTGCGCTTATAACTCGCTAGTCAGACGTATGGTGTATGCCGCCTATTATACTACACACATGTTACGTTTGAGTTAATTAAAAACATAAATAAATGAAATATGACATTTTCAGTTTGCTTAAATACATGATATATTTGTTTGAAATTTGAATGCGAGCTACAAAACTGAATTAATTTGTTATTGTATAAACCAAGGTTTTATAAAAAGTTTAGTTTAAAAAATTTTTAGCGTTGCAAGAAGATTGGATGATCAGTTTTATACGTAATTGTTTGTACACTACTGAACTGCAGTTAACGAATTATACGAGCTATTTCATCCCTTAATGATACTCCAATTTCATCCCTTAATGATACTCCATCATGATGATCTTCGTATTCATTTTCTGCATTATCGTTTTCAAGAGATTCATTGTGCTCTACATATTCTTCAGATGGGGTGTTACGTTGGCGACAAATATTGTGTAGTGCACAGCACACATTAACGATTTTGCAAGCAAATTTAGGTTCGTAATTTAAACCATGTTGTAGGCAGCGAAATCTACTTTTGAGAACGCCAATAGTGCGCTCGACAATATTTCTCGCGGCTGCATGTTTCATGTTAAATTTGTGCTGAAATGTTCCTAATTCTGCATTCCTATATGGAGTCAGCACGAATCTTTCCAGTGCATAACCGGAGTCTGCCAAAATGAAATTATCATTTATTGACCTCGATAAATAGTTTTTCGCCTGACTATTTTTCCAAATGAATGAGTCGTGATATGAGCCAGGGTGTGTGGCGTCTACTGCAAGTATTTCCATATTATGGTTACATATCTAAATTAGAAAAAGAGGTATAAATCAAAAACAAGTTTTATAGATTGAGTCCTTACGAGCATAGCATTCAAGCTGAAGAAACCTTTTCTATTAAAAAACACTGACTCATTTTGAACTGGCTTTAGTAATCGAATGTGCGTCCCGTCGATACACGCAACGATCCGAGGCAGCTGGTATTTCCTATAGAAGTTCTCCCTGGATTGTTGTATTTGCGGTTCAGTCATTTGCAACGAGATATTTTCTGCACATAGCACACTTTCCATTAAAGGAATATATTTGTGCAACACCTTCCCAAACGTGCTTCTGCCTATGTTAATGTGGTGGTCCTTTGCAACACATAACTGAAAGGAACCAGTGGCAAGGAAGCGAAGAACAGCAGCGAACTGAATTGATTGTGGCAACCGAGTTGTTTTTAAATGTGGCTGGAGCTTTTGTAGAATAATTTTAAACGTGTCTTTGTCCACCCGGAATGACTTTAAGAAACTAAAGAATAACTGTGTAATAAATAGCTCAGTTTATGGCTTTGGATACAACTCACCTTTCGTCTGGCCTTGCCCTTAAATGCTTTAGTCTCCTCAATTCTGTCTTTTTCTTTAATCTTTTTGCTTCAAAACACGCTAGTGAAAAAATGAAAGGCATTTTTGTTAATTTATAACTTGTTGAAATAGCTAAAACAGCTGTTTTGCTATACCAGAAACTAAGTGAGGAATGGAACTTATCGATAACAAAAAGTTGCGAATTCAAGAGCACCTAAAAATAAAAACGTACGATTTTTACGAAAACGCAAAACGCAAAAGTAAATGAAAATGGGAGCCCCCATGTATTATGTATAGTTTCTCTCTTCTTGTCGTGAATCTTGTTGAGTATCTGTACTCTTTTCACATTCACGTATGTCATACTCAGCCACTCTTTCAGTACTCCTACGAAGTGAATACCCGAATAACTAACGATAGTCTTACCGAACGATTACCGCAAAACCTACTGGTAGTCTTACCAAGCGATTACCGCAAAACCTACCGGTAGTCTTACCAAGCTATTACCGCAAAACCTACCGGTAGTGTTACCAAACG